TTGAAATGTTAATCCTTTTGTGGTTATGAACACTTTGAAATGTTACTCCTTTTGTGAAATAATTTTTTCTATACAATTTATACTTTTTGTTGAAATTTACACCTTTTTTGAAAGCCCAACTTAAACCTTTTTCAAAAGTCACTTACATCTTTTGTGAAAAAAAAAATTCATCAAATTTATATCGTTTGCTAAAATTTACACCATTTCGTGGAAGTGCTTATATCTTTTCTAAAAAGTTACTCATTTTGTGAAACTATTTATCTCGTCAGATTTATACTTTTTTTTCGAACATACACCTTTTGTAAAAGACAAACTTAAGTCTTTTTCTGAAGTCAGTTATATCTTTTGTGAACAAAAAAATTCATCGAATTTACAGATTTTGCCTAAACTTACACTTTTTCGTGAAAAAACTTACACCGTTGCTGAAAAGTTACTCCTTTTGCGAAAGAATTTTTGTTATAAGATTTATACCTTTTTGAAACTTACACCTTTTCTAAAATCCCAACTTAAACCTTTTTCTGAAGTCACTTATGTCTTTTGTGGAAAAAAAAATTGATGAAATTTACACATTTTGCCTCAACTTACAGCTTTTCGTGAAAAAACTTACACCATTGCTGAAAAGTTACTCCTTTTGTTAAAGAATTTTTGAAATAAGATTTATACCTTTTATGAAACTTACACATTTTCTGAAAGCCCAACTTAAACCTTTTTTTGAAGTCAGTTACATCTTTTGTGAAAAAAAAACATTCATATAATTTATATCTTTTGCTAAAATTTATACCTTTTCGTGAAAGTGCTTATATCTTTTCTGAAAAATTACTCATTTTGTGAAATAATTTTGAAATTATTGTAAGTTCAAAAGGCGTAAGTATTATGTGTAAGTTGTCAAAAAATTCAAAAGGCGTAAGTATTATGTGTAAGTTGTAAAAATTTTATGAAATAAAAATTTTCACATATGGTGTAACTTTTAGAAAAGTTATAACTTGTTTTACAAAAGATGCAAGTATTATGTGTAAGTTGTCATTCACATATGGTGTAACTTTCAGAAAAATATAATTTGTTTTACAAAAGATGTAAGTATTATGTGTAAGTGACAAAATTTTATGAAATAAAAATTTTCACATGTGGTGTAACTTTCAGAAAAAAGTATAACTTGTTTTACAAAAGATATCAGTATCATGTGTAAGTTGTCATTCACCTATGGTGTAACTTCCAGAAAAGGTATAACTTATTTTACAAAAGATGTAAATTTTTTACAACTTACACATAATACTTACAATAATTTCAAAATCATTTCACAAAATGGGTAACTTTTCAGAAAAGATATAAGCACTTCCACAAAAAGGTGTAAATTTTAGCAAAAGATATAAATTTTACGAATTTTTTTTCCCACAAAAGATATAAGTTACTTCAGAAAAATGTTTAAATTTGGCTTTCAGAAAAGGTGTAAGTTTCATAAAAGGTATAAATCTTATTACAAAAATTCTTTCACAAAAGGATAACTTTTCAGTAACGGTGTAAGTTTTTTCACGAAAAACTGTAAGTTTAGGCAAAATGTGTAAATTTCATCAATTTTTTTTTCACAAAAGATACTTCTCACAGGAGGTTTAAGTATTTCAATGAAAATGCATAAATTTTAAAAAATAAATTATTTCACAAATGTTTAACCTTCCACAAATAGTGTAAGTGTTTTCACGGGAGATGTAAGTAACTTCGCAAAACCTGTAAGTTCCTAAATCCAATCAAACTATATTTGTCTTCTTCAAATAATGGCAATGTGAGAGAGAAGGGCGTTTCGGAGGGCTTAGTCTTTCTCTCAGTAGAAGTCCGTTTCAGAGAAGACGAGTTTGGGAGGGCTTGGAATAGCGACTCCAAGTCCAAATCCAACGAAGAATGTCAATGTAAAAGAGAACCGTTTTAAATATAGAGCAACGGACAGAGAGAGAGAGATAGACTGTGATTAACAGATCGAGACCTAGATAGACAGTGATCGACAAAGACAGCCAGACCGAGATTGACAGAGAAGGACCGAATCGACAGAGAGAGCCAGACCGAGATCGACAGAGAGGGATCGAATCGACAAAGACAGCCAGACCGAGATCGACAGAGAGGGACCGAATCGACAGAGATCGACAGAGAAGAGACCACATGGACACAAACAGACCAAGATCGTTGGAGACAGACCGAGAGAGACCGACATCGACGGTTGACATCGACAAAGAGAGACCAAGATCGATAGCCAGAGAGAAAAAAACCTTTGATTTGCGGTGGCGGTGGCCGTGGAAGTGGCGGTGGCCGTGGAGGCGGCGACGGCAGTGAGCACCGGAGGCCACCGACGCTCGGGTGGTCAGCGGGGGTCACGAACCCTTTGATTTGTTCAGTGGTTGTCCCAATTTGTTTATGAACACTTTGAAGTGTTACTCTTTTTGTGGTTATGAACACTTGGAAATGTTACTCCTTTTGTGTTTATGAACACTTTGAAATGTTACTTCTTTTGTGAAATTACTTTTTCCATAAAATTTATACTTTTTATTTAAATTTACACCTTTTGTGAAAGCCAAACTTAACCATTTTTCTGAAGTCACTTATATATTTTGTGGAAAAAAAAAATTCATCAAATTTACACATTTTGCTAAAATTTACACCTTTTTGTGAAAACACTTACACCGCTGCGGCAAAGCTACTCCTTTTGTGAAAGAATTTTTGTCATAAGATTTATACATTTTCTTGAAACTTACACTTTTTGTGAAAGGCAAACTTAAACAATTTTCTGAAGTCACTTATATATTTTGTGGAAAAAAAAATATCAAATTTATACATTTCGCTAAAACTTACACCTTTTTGTGAAAACACTTACACCGCTGCGGTAAAGTTACTCCTTTTGTGAAAGAATTTTTGTCATAAGATTTATACATTTTCTTGAAACATACACCTTTTGTGCAAGCCAAACTTAAACATTTTTCTCAAGTCACTTATATATTTTGTGGAAAAAAAAATTCATCAAATTTACACATTTTGCTAAAACTTACACATTTTCGTGAAAATGTTTACACCGTGCTGAAAAGTTACTCCTTTTGTGAAAGAATTTTTGTCATAAGATTTATACCTTTTCTTGAAACATACACCTTTTGTGAAAGCCAAACTTAAACATTTTTCTCAAGTCACTTATATATTTTGTGGAAAAAAAAAATCATCAAATTTACACATTTTCTAAACTTACACCTTTTCGTGAAAATAATTACACCATGGCGAAAAAGTTACTCATTTTGTGAAAGAATTTTTGTCATAAGATTTATACCTTTTCTTGAAACATAAACTTTTTGTGAAAGCCCAACTTAAACTTTTTTCTGAAGTCACTTATATCTTTTGTGAAAAAAAAAAATTCGTAAAATTTATATCTTTTGCTAAAATTTATATGGTGTAACTTTCAGAAAAGGTATAACTTGTTTTACAAAAGATATAAGTATTATGTGTAAGTTGCCATTCACATATGGTGTAACTTTCAGAAAATGTATAATTTGTTTTAAAAAAGATGTACGTATTATGTGTAAGTTGTCATTTATATATGGTGTAACTTTTAGAAAAACATAACTTGTTTTACAAAAGCCATAAGTATTATGTATAAGTTGTCAAAATTTTTTGAAATAAAATTTTTCACATATAGTGTAACTTTCAGAAAATGTATAACTTTTTTTACAAAAGATATAAGTGTTATGTGTAAGTTGTCATTCACATATAGTGTAACTTTCAGAAAAGGTATAACTTGCTTTACAAAAAATGTAAGTATTATGTGTAAGTTGTCAAAATTTTATGAAATAAAATGTTCCACATATGGTGTAACTTTGACAAAAGGTATAACTTGTTTTACAAAAGATGTAAGTATTATGTGTACGTTGTCAAAAGTTACGCCTTTAGTTAGCAATTTTACAAAAGTTATAAGTTGTCAGAAAAGTGTAAGAACTTTCACAAAAAAGTGTAAGTTTTCACAAAAGCAGTAAGTTTTCACAAACGGTGTAAATTTTCAAAAATCCCTTACGCCTTTTTCTGAAATTACTTAGGCCTTTTGTTAAAATTTACGCCTTCTGTGAAAATTTACACATTTTGTGAAATTATTTACACATTTTCTGACAAAATTATACTTTTAGTCATATAATATATTCTTTTATTCATTTACCTATTGGCAACCTACTAAAGCAGGCCACCAATATGTTAGTTTTCAAATATTTAGGTATAACTCAATATCCAAAAAAGTATAAAGATAACATAGAAAGATGTAAATACCTTACATACCATATACAACACACACTTAAGAAAAGTCCATCTATTAAAAGTAAAATTACGAGCCTTAAAAAGTAAAACAACTTGTTAACCAAATTTTAGACTTGCTATGTTCTTTTCTTTTTTGATGCTCGTGTTGGTGCCTGACCCAAAGCAGATCCCACTAAAAAATGGCTTCACTACGATGATGCCCACTTCTTTAGCTGCTATTATATTATTATGCCCTATATATATCTATGCTATCTACATATATGTATACTTCTATACTATTGTATGCAAAGACTTCAATTGGTGTCTTAAAATGTTTGCTTCTCCTTATACGAAGTTTCTCATTTCTCTAATAAAAAAAAAACAAAAGCCAAAAACAAAAGATTGAAAAGTAAAGGGAATTTGAAATAAGATCTTACATCGATTAACACAGTCTTTACCACTTGAATAGTACACAAGGTGTAGTGAATTTTTTAATTATTTATTTAAATTACATACACATCGCGTTTGCTAACCACTAATTTTTTTTTTAAAACATATAGCCAGGATAACACAGCCTCCTCACCAATCAAGGAAAAAGTCCTCCCCCCATCTTCAATGGCTACAAAATGCAAATGCAATGCGGCTTGGCTTCCACAATGTCAAATTATAAAAGAGAAATCCCCTTTTATTATCCTACACATACTACTAGTCACCAAACGCTCCAAATGAAAAAGTAATAGTAAGAACAAAAATAAAAACATAAAAAAGATATTTTTTTTAAAAAAGGGAAGGTGAATGTGAAATCCTAATGACCACCACACTGGTCTGGAAATCCCTCATGGCATCTGCAATTGTTCCAGATTTTGATTCTCTTGTATATTATATATGTACAAACAGCTGTAACTACTACTATTATCACTACTAGTATGGAGCACAAAAACCAAAGGCAAGAAGATGATGAACAAAAGATGGAAAAATTACAAATCCTGTATGGCCTGGCCTCTATATAAACACATGGAGTCTTGGAATCTCTCCAACTAAAACCCATGGAAGATCATCATTACAACCACCCACAGCCATGGGAATCTCTCTATCATATACAGCGTTGGTAATGGCATCACAACCTTATTCATGTCTTACTTATTGTCTGGGAAGTTGTCAAAGAAGAGCAGAGAACTGTTGACATATCGCCGATCAGGCAGCAGCTGCTGCTGCTGCTGCTCCACTTTCAACACAGGTTTTGCAGTTTGCTCATTATCTGGGAAGGGAAACGAAAGAGATAGTGATAGACAAGCAGAGACATCCTCCTCCTCCCCCTCCTCTTCCTTGGTTGCTGCATTCTCACAAGGCTGGTCCTGGCTAGCGTTCAGGTCCACTTTCCCCATTAAAAAAGGCAGGATCCCCGGTTTCGACGGTTTCATTTCTGCACCTAAAGCAAGCTCGAGACTTGGAGTCACATCAGGAAGCCGAACATCATCTTCTGATGATAACACTTTCCAGGGGACCGAGTTTTCACCTGACCTCAAGTCTTTTACAGGAAGTTCATCTACAGGAAAGAAGTACCTTTCGGAAATTCCTTTGTTCTTAAGGATTTCTTTTTCATTGCAAGCTTTTTCACCTATCTCCTTCATTAAAGAACTGGTACCCATATCATATGTCCCAGACACAGAACTCCCTCTCGAAGGACTTGTATTCCTAGAACTATTAGGCACATCCAATAATCCAGATAAACCAGTTTTCTGTTTTTTACTTGCACGTTGTCCATCAAGCAACACACTATTTGCATCACTCCAAGACTTTTGACTGATGCCAGCAGAAGCTTGTGAGACTGTCCACGTAGGATCTTCATGCAGATGTTTCCCACAATTGAACTGCCGATTGTTGAGCCCCTTCATGGTTTGATCTCTCATCACCATGTCTCTCTCCAGTACAGCTTTTGTGTCCAAAGATCCCTCTTCTTCCTTCAAAGTACTCTCAAACATCACCTGATCTTCACTACTGTCCACTCTAGCTGCTATCTCAAAAGAACGAGTCGAAATCTGTTGTATGTCAAGGGGATTATCCGGATACATTGGCATCTTCTTGCTTTTCTTGGAATCAGTTGTGTTTCTAGCAGTTTGAACAGATGGTTGAAGTTTTACATCCAGTTTGCATTCGGGGTCAACAATTGTTTCCTACAGGGAGAATATATGAACATTAAAATATTATTTTTGAAAACCAGAAAATATAATGCCTCCCCATTCATTGAAATCATGATTGAAAAATAGTCAATATTTTAAGATTTAAATGCGACAAGAATGTCACCAAAATGGGAAAGGACTATAATTCAGACTTCTGCTAACACAAGAATATGTAACAACTTACCTACAAAAATAACATTGAGCCCATACTCAGTCTCACATGAAGTGTTAAAACTAAGACCCTAATAAACCAATGCATAATCATGCAAGACCAAGACCGCTCTACATGAATTTCTCAATTTGTTTCACATGCTTTACATGACTAAATTCAATTATTTCACATCAGCAAACTCAATATAAGCCCCGTCAAACATGGCTAGAACTCAACTCTATACTCAAATGTAATGCATTGTAAATAGCACAACAAAGAATATGGAGTAATTGAGAGGAAAAACCATAGGGCTGTTAAGTAGTCACAAACAAGTATGTCACACTGTACATTGTTCTAAAATGGAATCAAGCAATAGATAGTAGAAACATCCAGAGCGAGCAATAGAGAGAGGAAATGTTTGGTAATGACAAGCCATATGAGAGGAAAATTACATTACCAGTGGAGTACTAGTGCATCTTGTTTCTTGGAATAACAGTGAACTGGTTGTTTTTATCCTACAGTCTTGCCACCCCACATTTTCTTGAAGGCATTGACCCTTTGGATCAAGAGAAGATGCTTCGGTATCACAATTCCCATTTATTGTGTCAGAAGATAAACAGGGTGATTCCATCAAGGCAGGACACTTGGATGATAGAGCCACATTGCAAGCTTTGGAAAACATAGGTAAATTCCCATCTATAGGCCCAAGTAAACCTGTGTTCTCAGGAGGAGACATGATGGCGGTGGGCATATCTCTGTGAATAAAATACTTCTTTGGAGAACCAGACACATTTTGCAAGTAATTTACTTTCTTTCCTCTGAACACACCCCAAAGGAAGAACAACATATTCCAACCTGTCAATGGTGGATAACAAAACTTAGAACGTTCCAGAATTTTAAGTGAAATACCCCATATATCATCAAAATCGTACAGTTAAAAGCATGGCTTTAAAAGAAACATAGAGGCAAAGCCTTCCCATTTTTCCTTGGGGCAAGTTGCAACTGCAGAACAAGACGCACAAGTAAAATGATTTTTTGAAATTATTTCCATACATAAAATTCAGAAGCATAAGAAAGGCCAACAAATTTTCAAACAAGCCATCATGAAGAAAACTTTTCAATGAGTGTTTGTTTAGTCAACCTTCCAGTACCCTTGTAAATATGACGGCAATTTTGCCGCCATCAGCTTTTAGTAACTTTGAAGCTACACAGTCACCAGAAAAGAAAACTTATAAATAAATAGAAGATTTCTAGTCATCAAGTATCTAACACGCAGTAAGTAGTGGCTAAAATAAGATTACTGTCTTAGAAAGGACGTCGGAGCAAATGGATTCAGGTAGCTAGCCCCAGAGTGCTGAGGTATGGTTTTAGCAGTCCATTTCTTAGTTGTGTGTGCAAGGCACACCTAAAGAAAAGGCAAGCCCTCAATGCATGAAGATGTTTCTTATTAGCTGTTGGCCTGTTACACTTTAAACTGCAATTCTTAAAAGAACAACCCTCACTGGTAGTCTTCCAGGAGACTCACCTTGACATGCCCTAGGAATGAGCCACTATGGCCTTAAATCCATTTCTAAAACATTTCTAAAGTTAGTGCATATATGAGAAGATTAATATCTTACGCTGGGATTTCTCAGGAAGATGGTTGGATGGGAATATCAAGAGTTCAACACCCTCAAAGTTTCCCTTAAGAGCAAGATCATTTTTCATCATTGTCTCCAGCAAACTCTTGTAGCTTTTCTCGTAGCTGTGCCACACAAGCAACATAGAGAGATAGATTACAATAAATTAAAATAAAAAGGAGAAAAAAATACAAATTAGAGAGCACAATTTTAATTGACCAAAAGAGAGAACAAATGTTACCACTCAAGATCCTTAGCAAAAAAATAGAGTGCGATGTTATCTTCTTTAACACCAGTCTCCTGAAACTGTACTGGCCACATACTAAAGCGAGGTACTTCATTCAAAAGAATTTTTGAAGGAAACTTGTTCAACACGTCAAATACTTTTGGTGATGCACAGGTTGATAAATGTGCTTGAATTCCATCATGTAACTCTGGCAGTTTCCCTCTTTTGAGGACCTCAAAACCCCCTCTGTGTACAAACAACATAAGCCCAAGAAAAGCCATTTTCAAGAAGCAGAATACTTTCACATACATGTCCAACGAAAAATAAATCCAAGGAAAAAAAGCAATGCTTTCAGTTTTTCAATTAAGAAAAGAAATCAAGTCAAAAAAACGAAGAAAAAAAAAGAGGAATTACTGCCAAATATATTCATGCTCTGGAACGGCTGACATCTTCAAAAGAACAGACACTGATGCCAAAGCATGACTAGGCAAGTCTCTTCTAAAAGGCTTTCCATTAGAAGGGACAACAGGACTAATGGCTCCAGTTTTCAAAATAGCAACTCCAGAAGGAAGAGCAGATAATTGATTCATGTTGTTCACAGTTGTCTGTCTACAAGAGTCGGCAGTAGAAATCCGCAGTACTGCTTGCCCATCATGTACCTCATTGGCAGAAAACATGTTACTTGTGTTAATTGAAGTTGAAAATTGACCTTGAGAACCTATTTGACAACCTAAGTTCGCGCTTGACATGGACAACCCATCAGATTGGTCAGGCATCTTATTCTTTCTATATATTCCAGGCTTTTTAAGCATAGCAGCCTCAATTGCAGCTTTCAATTTATTACCTTTATTCATCACCTCTCTTGAACTTGCAGCTGACGCATCAACAGCAAGTGACTGAGGACTGTCAACAGTGCAGAATTGGGCAGAATGCCCAATTTCTTTACATTTTTGACAGGGAACACTTTTTCCACCAGTTGTAATACTTGGCCTTGAGCGATTAACAGAACTCTCCCTAATTCTCTCGCCAAGATTTGTTGATTCCCGGGGCCGAGGTAATAGATCTGGAAGATCTTCGTTAACATTACAAGATGGTCTCTCTGCTGTAGAAGTACTTGATAAGGGATTATCCATAAGGCTGGTCTGGTTTGCCTTTTGTTCTGCAGAACTGCAAATCCCATTGATCAATGAAGCTTCAACTACACGGGGCAAGTGTGACTGCTGCTTAATTTCACCTGATCCAGATGGACAGCAGCAGAAACTTAACTATGCAAACAACATATAAGTTAAAAGAGCTCTAGAGACAAAAATATATAACGAGTGCAGTCCCACAAATATAGATAATATAATACCTAAAGAAACTGGCATTTCTGAACCTCTACGAGCTACATGACTGGTTGATTTTGATAACGTACTTAATTTACAGTCAGATTGCACACCCTTCAGTTCACGGTTGTTGCTTAGCAAGCAACTTCCACCATAAGATGCTAGTTTTTGATCACCTTGCAACATAGAGACATTAGTGTTGCACATGGTTGAACTCACTAATGGGCGTTCTGATTTAAATGAATTCTTCCTTTCAAGTAAATTCCACTCTTTTGCTTGTTTTAATCCTTTTAGATCCTGGCCATGAGAAAATTTAGGGGATAACATCTTAACTTTTGATTCTGAAAGATTTAGACGGCCTGGGTTCACAGATTTAAACGACATTGATTTGCCTATCAATCTGACAGCACCTTCCTTCATATCAAGGGAAACAGGTTCTCTAGCTGATTTCTTCTTCTGAGAAAAAACTTCATCTACAAGTTCAACTTTTGGTTTTGCATTTGCAGAATGGAATGAATTAGACTTTAATAAAGAACCTGTACAAGAAATATGGATTATTGCTTAAGAGAAAACCATCGATTGAGCTTAAAATAGATATCACAGTAAGCAACCTAAAGCATCCATCCAAGTATAGGAAAGGGCAACCTAGTGCACAAGGCTCCCGCTGAAACAAGGTCTAGGGAGAGCAAAATGTACACAGCCTTACCCCATTTCTAAATAGCCTATTTTAGTGACTCGAACCCATCAGGGACCCTACCAAATATAGGGGGGGGGGGGGGGGGGGGAATAATTAGTTAAAAAAAAAGCTTTTAAGTTATGAAAAACATTACCTCGAGTTGTCTGCAGTCGCGGCCCAGTAGAAGAGAATGCAGCTTCAGAAGTATCCTTAATCGAGCAAGATCCAGAAGTTAAATGATGTGCTGGCTTCACTTTCCCCTTATTGAGGTTTCTGAATGATGAATCATGAGAAAGTGCTGCTACTCTGCGGGGACTGGATGTATTTGGTGATCCAACAGTTGGCTCAAGGGCCTGTTTTTTTGCTGCTGAAGCAACTTCAATGTTCTCTGCACGTCTTTTACCAGAGGTTTTTGTACTCAGAATATCTTTATTCGTTTTATTGCCCTCAACATCTGAATCTTTTTTATCTGACTTCACACACAGATTGGTATCCAGGGCACTTGCTAGTCCAGAAGATTGATTTTTGTCATTCCCATCTACTGTAACAATTTTATCTTCCTTCAGGTTTTTGATTTCATCATCGAACTTGCATTCTTCACACATCCAATCACCTGCTGGAACTTTGTCCATCATTTCCTGCATGCAATAGCTGTGTGACAGCAATAAAAATGTTAAACTATCTAAAACACATAAATTTAAATTTAAATTTACATAAAATAGATAGCTTAAAAGACTGCCACAGAAAATATTAAAATAGACTTACGTGTGCTCTGCACCATCACTGCACCTACTACATATGGCAAGTAAATCCTCCCGACCTGCATCGCCACAAATATCGCAAACTTTTACCTGTTTCCATACAATAGCAAGAATTCAGCAAGCAATTATATCCTAAAATTGTAACTACAGAAACAAAACACTGATGTGGTGCCTGAAAAGTGCATGGAACATGAACCATTAGGAGATGGTCTTGGATTGTAAATAGCTAGTATAATTAGAGCAAAATAGATAAAAAAAATAATGACAAAGCCAGGTGGTCCCAAGTCATACAAGTTACCCGATTCTAGGAAACACAACATGCAATCTCTTGAATACCCAAATATACGCTTGCCATAGGAAGTTTTAAAAGGATAGGTCATCATCAACAACTAAAACGACTAAGCTTGAAATCCCAACTTGTAAAAGTGTAGTATACTTAATAGTTAATTGAAATGAACATATTTTATTAATTGAAAATAAATGTAATCATGCCCAAATATAAAAAATGTTCCATCAAGAACAAAAACAGTATAAACTTGAGGAGATCCAGGTCTCAAAGGCAAAATAACTGAAAACAAAATAGAAAGTTAAAATTAAAGAAAACCAATTGCATAAAGAAAACATAAGACGTTCAACCAAGAAAAACAACAAAAGAGTGAATACTTACATCATGCTCCAAAATATCAAAATCATCACTATCATCCACAGAATGGGATTGCAAGGAAGTTTCCTGCACATCAGGTAATCCACAAGGTTCCTTCACCTTCTCAATTTCTTCAATTTTCTCTGAAGAATTCACAGCTTCATTAGGCAGCTTACTGCTACCAGTGTATCTGTCTCTTTCTGCTTCCAAGTTCAGACAAACTTTGTCTGAAGCCACAGAATTGCCTCCAATGAGACTACCATCATCTGTTCCTCCACATGTATATGAAGCAGATCTCTGCCCACAAAACATATCAGATGCTGTCTCTTTTGTCAATGATGAATCCAAATGTTCCTTTGAGCATTCAGGCAGTTCTACAGGAAGATGAGAACCTAAATCCTGTTCCAAGTCATTCACATTCAGTTTGCATGAAATAGATTTGCCACTGAAAGGATGGGAGCAAGTACTAAGTAGCTTCGGTGAGCTAGCACCATCCCTTCTGTCTTTTGAGGAAGGAATCTCTACAGAGTCTTTCTTGTGGGAAGATAACTCAATTGAGGCAAAACCATGTGTTCCATTATTGTATTTGGTCAATTTGTTTGTGTCACTACTTCCGCTAACACAAGAAATGCTATCTTCATGGCTTTCTAGACCTTTTCGATCCTCAAACTTGTTTTTGTGGGCTCTCTGATCAGAAATGCATTGTGGTTTTAAAGGGAGCTGATCATCTGCAACAGTTCCACCAGATGACAAATTTAGATGTGCCTCAACATCTTCAGATGCCCCAGATACATCACAAGTCCTCAAACTAGCTTTACTTTCTGCATTTTCAGAGAAACAATCGTCACCAAGCACATTACTTGTTTCACTGGCAGTATGCTGCCCACCGTCGCATGCAGTATTCTTCACAGGTACAACATCATTAACAGAATACTGACTGCCAGCATTTCCTTGACAAGTTTCGTCAGAAAATTCATGAGCCTTCAATCCCATGAGAGCTCGGTTAATATGTAAACAAGATGAGCAAGGAGCAGAACACACGTTGCATGTCCCAGACTCTGCTCTCATGAGAACTTTCCTACTGTTGGAGTGCCTACCCAATTCATTTTCATCATGAGAAAATACCTAATAGCAACAGCAAATATACAGTAAAGACAAGAAACAATGAAAAGAACAAGGTGTTACACAATCACGAATTCTTCATACCAAAAGCACCAGCGAACCCTGATTTGTGACATTTTAATGACACAAAAGGAAAAACAATTATAAGAATTTAAAATACAAGAAAATAAGCAAGCTAAAAACAATAATTAATACAGTCACAGATGCTACTAAATGCATTCTTCAGATAAAGAAGTACATATACAGATTTCATTAAAGCTAAGGAAAACTGAATGTCACAGATTCAAATTAGGGCATAATTTTTGCCTTCAGATGTTTTCCTCCTGTTCCTTAGATGTCAAGATACTTTTTGAATGGAAAATTTAATGGTTAACTTTGTAAAAATTCCAAAAGGATTCATTATTTCAGTTTAAAAGGTGTTTTAATCTAGTTATCTTGATTGAGTTTACAAACAATTTATTGTATTTTGAGCTGATGTGTAAATTGAGTGTTACATTTTATATTCTTTATCAGCCTAAAACAAACAAGGTCAAAATGTCCAAATATATAGCTATCTAAAGCTTGCTAGCTCAAATTCAAAATTATAACCAAATTCCAAATATTCAAATACACTTCATCCGATATGAGACCTAGTACTGCTTTAATTGCTTGGTAAAGAAACTTTGGGGGATGATCCTAGGTATATTTGGGTTTTTCAGAGAGTGTGCTGGGCCTATTTCTTTGTTGAAAGGAGGGAAGAGTGGGCAAGCAGAGGAAAAGGGCTTGGCTATTGGCACCTTGCTATGTTTGATGTGGCTTATGTGGGGTAAGTGTAATCGACAACCTTTGTTGGGGGGAACAACCTCTCTCTTCAATGAGAGAGTAAATTTTTGCCTCTTGTATAGCTGGTTTCGGGGAATTGTGGAGTCAATCAATTTATGAATTTTGCAGACACTTTGGAGGGAGGTGATATTAAATAGGAGATCTTTTTGTTGTTCTGCTCTATAGTCGTAAATGGGTAAACCTCCTTGGTGATTTGTTAAGAGACTTTACTTGTCCAAAAAAGAAAACAAAGAAAGACCCACTACTGCTGCTATATATAGTTTATGAAGTGAAATGAATTAGAGACAGACATTAGGAGCAGTTAAATAGAACTAAAATTTTAGTAATGATAAAAAATCATTGTTAAATTAGTACTGGAGTTTATATTAAGAATCTAAAGAAAATTTTGTGTAATTAAAACTACAACCCATTGCGTTTGTTCAATATATCTTCACCTTGAAATTCAGAAATGGATTTTCCATTTTTAGTGTTAGCCAATTATCAATTATCAACAGACTTGATAGAACATCAAGTACTATAGTCGAACAATCTTAACACTGTACAGATGGCTACAGTATAGAAAATTGATTCCTCACAATAGGGGTATTCAATGCTGATGCACAATTGGAACTATCTTTCTAATTAGAAAACAGGTGCAATCAATAGACTTGATAGAACATCAAGTACTATAGTCGAACAATCTTAACACTGTACAGATGGCTACAGTATAGAAAATTGATTCCTCACATTAGGGGTATTCGATGCTGATGCACAATTGGAACTATCTTTCTAATTGGAAAACAGGTGCAATCATTAAAAATGTCTAGTAGATTGTTACGCATCCCAATAACAAAAATACAATCAGTCCATGGGTTTTTACGTTCAGAAAAGGATAATCAAGATGAAACAATTTGGAACAAACTACCGAACACACAACTACACAGACACATTATTAGCACAAAACAAAACATGACAAGCTTAATTGGTGTAACACACCCATTGAATAACAATCCACCAGAATCAGCACCCTAAAGATTAGAGGAAGAGATCATAATCTACAAAGCTAGAAAATCTACCATAGAATTCATTGATACCATCCTAATACTGGCACATAATTTACAGCAAAGCAAGGTGCCCACAATGAACCTTTACATATACAACAAAGGAAAGGATAAGAAAAACTACATGTAATTAATTATCCTATTGGCTCACCGTATTCAACTGAATGTCACAATCTGTCTCATCTACTGGCCCCTGCATCTGACAGCTCCCTCTCAAGACTGGGGTGATCTAAAAAGCACATAGAAACAACATCAATTACCATGCCCAGAAAACATAAGCCGAAAGCTAACATCATCCACTTCAAAAAAATAATTTAAATCATGCAACGTAAAGCATCGGATCATCTAAAGCAATGCAAGCATCACCAAGTGCAACAGAACCCAAAAAGGGGAAATCCTATTTCTCTCTCTATCCATCTAGCTTTCTCCTATCCAATTACTTATTCAGATATCTTAAGAGAACAAAAAAGGAGATAAACTGAGGGAAACCAAAAGCCCTTAAAAGCCACTTTTTTTAATCTCCTTAAAACTAGAGATATTTGGAGAGAGAGAGAGGGGGGGGGGGGGAGGTTAGCACATGTTTTCCCCTAATTTTCAAGACAAGTGGTTTCCATTTTACCCCTCTCAATCACATAACAAAACTTCTTTCCTTTTCTTCTTTTGTGTCCTCAATCTTTTGCAAACAAGAAGAAAGGACAACAACATCTTCCCTTCTTTTTCCTCCCTCCGTTAAACATAATTTTTGAGTGTCAATTTCTGCAGATAAAAAATGGTGATTTTTATGGATTATATTCTAAAGGGGGATACTATGGTATATGTATTATATTGACCATCAGGGTAGGTTAGTGTGTCAGATGTTGCGGTTTGAGGACACACAATTTGTGCAACTATTGCTCTGAAGTTATAACATGTAAATTGCTTTGAGCATGTATATTGGTATTATGTGATTACATATTTTTAATGGAAAACAAATTGGGCCTGCATGACCTAGGACCTTATGGGAAGCTGATGGGCACTAAGATGGTGGAAGAGCACTAGAGGTGGAGAAAGAGAGAGATGAGGCATACTTAGGAGGGAGGGTGTGGCAATGAAGAGACCTTATGAACCAGTCAGAGCAGATGGCTGGGTGACAACTGATTCAACATTTGTGTGGGAACCTCCTAATATAGGAGGAACAACTCACCAACCCCATGGAAAACCTTGTGGGTCACATCATGGGACTATAGTGGGGTAGGTATGCATCTATTACAACACTGCAAAGTTAAATATGTTAAAGCCTTTGTCACAACCACAACAAAGAGGTATAATACGATCTTCAAGACATCATATCCTGGTCAGAACCATTCTTTGACTAAGATTGGCCAACGTGGAGCCAGTGGAGGAGAACGACCTTAACAATCCCCACTCTAGCCCCAAACCAAAAGTCCTCAAGTGATCCCAGAAAGAGCTCCAAACCTACAGTAACCTTGACTGAGCTTTGGGCAAAAGGCAATGCATGCACTTGCCTTGGTTAGAGTGGGTCGCCCTATAAGGGGAGCTTGTTATAATATGCTATTGGACCACATGTCACCTCATGAGACTAACACATGGCACCATAGTTCTAGGGAAGATGCCCACATAGTGGTGATGTGGCAAGCCCAATTGGTGGATTTTGATGAACATACCTATAATTTACAAAGTGCTTATTAGAAGTTCAAAGAGCTAGGTTCAATTCCCACTCAAATAGCGCTCAAGAGGGGTCCTATAAATTTCCGTAGACTAGGAATCAAAAGGGAATAGCTTGAAAGTTGAAAGTCACCTTAATTTTATGTCACGCCTTTTCTATACGAAACCATAGTTGTCAAATCGGGATTCGAACTGTGAATCGAAATGGTCTCGTACCAAATCGTGAATCAAATCGAATTGTGAATCATAAAGATTTGGTCACTTTTTCTAATTACTTAGAAAATTATATTTACACACTTGAATGTTAAATATATTTTATGAATATGAAATATTTAGATTTAAATCAATGAAAATATTATTTTGAATAATGATCATATAGTTTAATAACAAAGGTTCTTATATAAGATCGCTATCTTACCTTTTCTTTTTTTTTAGATATTTCTTATCAACCATTCTTAATAAAGACAATAAACAAAAACAATCTCTCAATTTCCAAAGTAACAATAATTTGACAATAATATTGATATTTGGACAACAAGCATAGATACTTTTTCAAGTAACAATAACCAAATAATAGGAAAGCATTATTTAGAATCTTTTTTTTTTAAATCTAAAATATTTTAAAATGTATAACTGATCTCACTCATGTAATATTAAATTATATTTAATTTAATAAAATAGCAATAGATAATTCGTGGTACAAGTTACTTTAATCTTAAACATATTTAGAAGATATATTATGATTTTTTAAAGAAAAAAAATGAGAAGAAAGGTTAAAAACATGTTGGTTCTGACTAAATCTGATTGGATCCTATTAAAAACTCTACGATCACTAAAATAATAACAAATCATATATATATTGGTTATTTTGATATTAAACGCTATTAGAAGTTATATTATGTTATTTTCAATAAAAAGATAGAGAAAGAAAGAGTCAAAAAAATATCAGACACGATAGTTTTAAGAATTGTATGAATTGTAAAAAGTGTGGCGAATCGTGAATTGATCATGAATCGTGTGATTCACTAGAAATTCATTTCTAAAATAGATTCACCCATAAATTTGTATCGATTTTATAAAAACTGTGAATTGAATCGTGAATGAAATCACGAATCGTAAGATTCTGATAATAGAGTACGAAATTATAGAAAGGCGCTAGGTTAAGGCTAAAGTGGGTGGGCGAGCAGATATATGGACTAACACGTGGATAGGGAAGGTTGGGTCCCGCACTTGGTTTTGACTCTGAAGGAGAAAACCAACCATAGGTGTCCCGCACTTGAGTCCACCTGTTGATTTGAAGAACCCCAAGTTTGGAAGGATGGGCAACTCCTTAGAAACTATAAAAAGGCACAAGGTTTTTCTGTTTATTTTTACTGAAATCTGTGTGGGATGCCTTTGAGTTAATTGATAAATCTAGATTGCCATATTGAATTGAATTGGATCATCTATTTGCCAAATTTAAGTTTGAAATTGGATAGTGTATACCTATGGTTTGGCCTATTATTAAACCCCTCTAGGCAAACTAGTTTTCAACTTCAGTTGTCCAAGCAAGAAGGAAGGGTAGCAGACTGCTTTCTCGTCTTTTCTATTATTATTATTATTATTAGTATCCTCTCTTAATTCCCCAAATGGACTGACAGTGATTTATTCATGAACCAAAAACCCTAGCTTCCGCAAAGCAATTAAACTATCAAGTTTGCCACAAGAATCAAACCAAGATTAAGAATTTTCCCACAGATTGATGTCAATCTAACAACAATTTGCAACAAAAATAAAAAATGAATTTACAACTTGAAATCAGAAACACAATCAAAACCATTATAAAGAAAACACCAAACCAATTCCAAAAGGAACAAAGGAAAACATTTTTCTAAAAAAAATCATAACTTTTTTTATAAATATGAATTAGGGTAACATAATTTACATGCCTCCGGTTGGGTGAGAGTCTGAGTCAGAGTGTATAGGTCCTGGAGGAGGAATCGTTCCTTGCGGTTGGGGGGCGATGTCATCGTAGTCGCCGATAGCAACAACAACACGATCGAGATTGAACCATCAACTTGTCGATGTCAATTGCGTTGTTGTGTTATAATAATAATAAAAAGAGATGAGAGCACCAGGTATGGTAAAGTCTGAAATGCAAAGAGAAAGAGGATCTGTAGAATAAAACTTATTAGAGAAGAGAGGGAGGGGCTCTTATTTTAGAATCTTATCTATCTAAGACTATGGTGGTGGTGGTGGTGATTAGGGTAACCAGCCCCGGGAGGGAGGGAGGGAGGGAGGGAAGGGACTTTTGAATTTATAATCAGACCAGACTTTGGTTGAGGAGGTTCTTTGCTATTGCTGGGTGGGGTTGGCTGGCTCTGGGCTTTTATAGCTTTAAAATTTTCATCTCTCTCTCTCTCTCTCTCTCTCTCTCTCTCTCTCTCTCTATATACATATATATATATATATTTGAAAATGATCGGAGGAGGAGGTTCGATTCATGCGAAGGAAGGAGGTGGGTTCTCTTATTATTTACGTAAAATTATAAAATAATATATTATTTAATAAAAATATGATAATTATATTTAATATTTTTTTATATTTTATAAAATAAAGATTAAATAAAAACTAATCAATCAGGATTTTTTTAATTATTTAAAATTAAGAAAATCAAAAAAATTATTATGAGATATTGATCATAAGTGCCATTTTGGAAACTTTCATAAAAAGTCACGTTTTTTTATCATTTTTCAAAAACGCAAATGGCCAAAAACGTAACAAAATTGGTTTGGGAATGGCCAAAAACGTAAGTGTGAAATTACAAATTAGGGCCTATGGCAAAAAAATAAAAAAATAAATTTCTTATGTTGAATAAGGGTATTTTGGTTATTTTAATTTGATTTGACACCATAAGTAAATATTAAACTAAAAAGCAAAAATTTAGCTTTTTACCAACTTCTCAAATCACTTTTCAAAAAGCTAAAAAGTTTGACAAAAAGTCAAAAGTCAACTTTTTACCAACTTCCCAAAACACCCCTAAGGTTTCTCACTAAAAATCTCATTTTGCTTATATAAATTGAAGCATAAGTTTCACTTTATGTAAGTGAAACAATTCACCTTTTTTCTTTTTTTCTCAATGTGATATTATAAAATAAAAATTAAATGAAATCTAGTCGACGGAGATTTTTTTAATTGTTTAAAAGTTAACAATTGTTTGAGAGATAAATTTATTTCAAATCAAACAATCTTAACCGTTTAATCTTTAATTAAGTCAATTTTTAATTTATTTCGAATCAAACAAATCTAACTAATATATTTTGATAAAACCACTAAGATCGCGGTTGGACTAACGAATTAGTCAAACAAAAAACGGTTCAGACTTGGTTTGGGAAGGGCCAAAAACGTAAGTGTGAAATTACAAATTAAGGCCTATGGCAAAAAAATAAAAAAATAAATTTCTTATGTTGAGTAAGGGTATTTTGGTTATTTTAATTTGATTTGACACCATAAATAAATATTAAACTAAAAAGCAAAAAGTCAGTTTTTTACCAACTTCTCAAATCACTTTTCAAAAAACTAAAAAGTTTGGCAAAAAGTCAAAAGTCAACTTTTTACCAACTTCCCAAAATACCCCTAAGGTTTCTCACTAAAAATCTCATTTTGCTTATATAAATTGAAGCATAAGTTTCACTTTATGTAAGTGAAACAATTCACATTTTTTTTTTTTCTCAATGTGAGATTATAAAATAAAAGTTAAATGAAATCTAGTCAATGGAGATTTTTTTAATTGTTTAAAAGTTAACAATTGTTTGAGAGATAAATTTATTTCAAATCAAACAATCTTAACCGTTTAATCTTTAATTAAGTCAATTTTTAATTTATTTCGAATCAAACAGATTTAGCCAACATATTTTGATAAAACCGCTAAAATCACAGTTAAACCAGCGAATCAGTCAAACCGAAAACGATTCACCCTATCAACTAGGTCAAAGGACCAACCAACTTATACAAAAATTAATTAATTAAAACTTTTAAATATTATTTTAATTTTAAAATTTAAACTGTCTTTAACTGAAACATATATAACACTACAATATTAAATGGGAGTATAAGGTTTATATAGTGAAACAATTCATTTTTTCTTCTTTTTTTTGATCTGAGATTGTAAAATAAAACTTAACGGTTGTTTGGACGGAAAGTTCATTTCTAATCAAGCAATCTCAGTCGTTCAATTTTTAATAAGGTCAATCTTAGTTGATTTCAAAATCAAACAAATCTAAGTAATATATTTTAATAAAACAGTTAAAATCATGGTTATTAAACTAGTGAATCAGTCAAACCGAAAACTATTGAGCCTAATCAGCTAAGTTAAAAGACCAACCAATTTACAACAAAATTAATTAATTAAAAACTTTTAAATTTTATTTTAAAATTTAAACGATCTTGAACTAAAACATGCACAATACTATAATATTAAATGAGAATATAAAATTCATTGTATATAAGTGAAACGACTCACTTTTTATTTTTTTTGTGAAATTGTAAAATAAAAGTTAAATGGAAGCTAACCAATAGAGATTTTCATAATTATTTAAAATTAAAAAAATCAAAAAAAATTGTATTGATTAGTAGGATTCTTACTAAAAAATCTTTTTTTACTTACATAAGATTCACTTTATATAAGTGAAACAATTCACTTTTTCTTTCTTTTCCCAATATAAAATTGTAAAATAAAAGTTAAATGGAAGCTAACCAATGAGGATTTTCTTAATTTTTTAAAATTAAGAAATTTCAATAATTTACATAAATTGGAATATAAGATTCACTTTATGTAAATTAAGCAATTCATTTTTTTTCCCAATTTGGAATTGTAAAGTAAAATATAAATAAAAGCTAATCAATGAGAATTTTCTTAATTTTTTAAAATTAAGAAAATTTTATAATTTTATAATGAGGGTTTGAAACTTTTAGAATGCTTCTCCCTTAAAACTCTTTTTTATAAGATTTATTTTATATAAGTGAAACAACTCACTTTTTGTTTCTTTCTCGACGTGGGATTATAACACTTTATATAAGTCAAACAACTCACTTTTTCTTTCTTTTCTTGATATGAGATTGTAACTATTTTAAAGTTAAATATTATGAGAGTTTCAAAATCTCATACAAACCTAAAACTCTGTAGGATTATAAAATGAAAGTTAAATAGAAGTTAACTAATGAGGATTTTCTTAATTGTTTAAAAATAAGAAAATAAAAAAAAATTAGTATGAGATATTGATCATAAGGCTTCTTACTAAAAATCTCTTTTTACTTATATAAATAAGAGCATAAAGTTCACTTTATATAAGTGAAACAATTATTTTTTTTTTCCTGATATGGGATTATAAAATAAATGGTAAATAAAAGCTAGCCAACGAAAAAAATTTTAATTGTTTAAAATTAAAAAAATACAATAATTTTAGAATAAAGGTTTGGAGTTCCTAAATAATATATAAATAGATATAAAATAGATAGTAAAACAAACTTTACCTTTTCTTCTTCTCTCAACGTGAGATTATAAAATAAATAATAACCTAATTAGAGTTTTATTTTTATATAGTTAAATGGAAGTTAGCCAATGAAATTTTTTTAATTGTTTAAAAATAATACAATCAATATAAGAAAATCACGATTAAACTGGTGAGTTGGTCAAACCTAAAATGGTTCAGCCTAATCGATTAGGTCAAATAACTAATCAACTTATACAAAAATTAATTAATTAAAACTTTTAAATGTTATTTTAATTTTAAAATTTAAACGGTCTTGAATTGAAATATACACAATACTACACTATTAAGATTCACATTATATAAGTGAAACAATTCACATTTTTTTTTTTCCGATATGAGATTATAAAATAAAAGTTAATAATTATTTGGATGGAAAGTTTATTTCTAATCAAGTAATCTTAGTCTTTCAATCTTTAATCAAATCAATCTTTAATTTATTTTGAATTAAACAAATCTAATCAATATATTTTAATAAAACCGCTAAAATCGTGGTTAAACCAATAAATCAATCAAATCAAAAATGATTTAGCTCAATTGGCTATCTCATAATTAATTAATTAAAATTTTTAAAATTTAAACTATATTAGATTGAAATCTGCATAACACTACAATATTAAATGAGATGAGAGTATAAGAATCACTTTATATGAGTAAAATAACTCATTTTTTTCCCTTCTTTTCCCGATATGGGATTATCAAATAAAAACTAACTAATGGAGATTTTTTTAATTGTTTAAAATTAAAAAAATTAGTATGTAAACTCTCACAAAACTCTTCACTAAATGAGATGAAAGTATAAAATTCTCTTTATATGAGTAAAACAACTCAATTTTTTTTCTTCTTTTCCTAATATGGGATTATCAAATAAAAACTGGTCAATAAAAATTTTCTTAATTATTTAAAATTAAAAAAATTAATATGAGATGTTGAAACTCTCATAAAACTTCCTACTAGAATGACCATTTTCCTTATATAATATATTATCAACAATGATTTATCCCACTAATTTAGGAGCACTAATGGATCACTAATGAGGTGGAAATTCAAAAAAAAAAAAAAAAAAAACACAAGAGCAAAACATCCCATCATGTAGAACCCACACCATTTTAGAGATATTAATATTCCTCTTTTTAGTGTTCTCACTCATTTCTGATATATTATATAAAGTAAAGATGCGAAGGAAATCAGCCAATCGCCAACGTGGCTCCTAGTCATACGCGTGTTTGTTTATCAAGCGTGTCTTCCGTCTGGTCCACGCCACGTCATACATTTCCTTGTTGCGCTCCCCTCCTACCAAAGATGTTAAAAATCACAAAAATTCTATCAAATGTCTCACATATACGTGAGTCTCATATAAGATATTTGATGTGAGTCTCATGTCTTACATCCATATGAGATATTTGAGTCTCATGTCTCATGTGAGTCTCATGTCTTACATCCATATGAGATATTTCTAAAAATCTCATGTCTTACATTCATACAAAAATTCTATCAAATTCTATCATATGCTCCCCTCCTACGTGAGTCTCATGTCTTACATCCATATGAGATATTTGATAAATTTTTTAATAAAAGGATAAATTACAAATATACCCTTGAGATTTGATTAAAATAAGAATTGCCTCTTGTGATTTTGAAAATTACATTCCATCTTCTGAGATTTTTAATTTCATAACAAATTGCTCATTTTATTAACAAATTATCAAGTTAATTAACAGTTTTTAATGATGTTAAAAATATGTTTCAAATAATAATTTAAGTAATTTTATTATTGTATAGGAGAGCAATTATGAATTTTATTTTTTTAGTTAATTTTGTTAAATCAAAAATTTTTAATAAAGGGATATTTGTAATTTTTCAAACAACAGAAAACAATCTATATTTTAAGCAGATCTCAAAAGATGTATTGATAATTTATTCTCAAACTTTTGACGTATCTACCATTACTACTCCTCCTCCTCCTCCCATTATGTTATGTCTCGCCACGTTTTATCTGATAATTATTAAGAAATAATGTACTCATAAATCCACCAATATTTATTTATCATTCTTAGCCTCTCAAATTTTATTTAAAAAAATTTCAAATATTATAAAGCATAAGTAATGTTTGGCTCATTATAATAAAAGTAAAATAGAATGATCGTTTCTATTTATATGTTTGGTTCACTAAAAAAATAATAGAAAATATATTACATATAGAATCATTATTCACCCTTATAAATGAATGCTTATTTCATGTAGAGACTAAAGAATGAGCATTTCATTCCATTTCACTTTCATTCTAGAGAATCAAACACAACATTATTGTATCAATAGTTTAGAAAAATGAAGTTTTATCAAAATAATTAAAGTGATGATTAATTTAAAAATAATGAATGACTGTTTGTCAAATGCATTGATTGTTTATATTAATATTGTTGACTTTTTTATGAAAAAATAAAATTTTTAAAGTTGAAATTAATCAAATCTTATATTCCCTCAACGATATCATAAGTAACATTGAATAAATTAGCTATCACAATAGAAATTGAATAAATTAATTATGTTATCTATTAAAAAATATGTGGTACATAAGTTAGATTATGCAAATTCAATTAGTAATTTTACATAAGTGACATTGTGATTTAATTTTTATTTCATATTACATTTTAAATTCGTCTTGAAGTTTGCTTTTCTTGAAAAATTGAAAACAATACAATTTTTTTTTTCATAATCTTTTTGAGTTCTAAACCAAGAAAATCATTATATATATATATATATGGAAGCAAATTTTTTGTGAATATTAAGAAATAAATAAATATGCATACATATCATTTTATTAATTAGTTATTTTAATAAGTATAGAGGTCCATTTCTAGAGTCCCTCTAAGGCCCAACAAAAGGCCCCGCAAAACTGAGAACTGGCCTGTCTATAATTAGATGATAATAAAGTTGGATCATATATAATTTAATATTTGACAAATCAAAAATTGATGTATACCTTATCATTCAAAAAGTGTTTTTATGAATTTCAAACATTTTCCAATAATATTGGAGACCCTTGTTTTTAGGAAGTGGAATGGAAGATAAAAAAAAATCAAATTATATTTCCCTGGTAATTTTTATAAATATATTCCCACACATGAATGGAATGGAAAAAATTAGAGCACCATGGTCCATTTACAAGTACTACAAATAGGGCTGAGTAAGGAATTCGCATAGTTCGTAATCCGATCCGGTCCAGTTCAATTTAGGAGGTTTGGATTGATTTTTTGAATCCATGGCTCGGTTCTAGATTGAAAATTTAAAAATCTATAGGCCATAGATCGATTCCGGATTGAATCCCACAGCTCCGGATTGGAACCAATCTGGACTACATAGAAATAGTCTATATTTATGCTATATACCCTCTCACATAATATCATTTATTGTTTCATATAAAAGCTAAACTCTAACCCTAATCCACGCCACTCACTGTCTCCCACACTCTCATCTCTCTTTCGATACTCTCTCTTTCTTATCTCAAACTAAGTTCTCTCTCTCGGTACTGTCTCTTACACTTTCATCCATCTCAAATTAGATCGATAGCTGTAGCTGCTTGTCTCTCTCTCGGTGAGCTCTCTCTCTCTCTCCCTCTTTCTCGGTGACATTATTTTTGTTCCTTTGTTTTCAGATACAGTTAACTTAGATCATTTATCTCATCTCAGATCAGATTGGTAGTTGTAGCTACTTGTCTCTCTCTAGGTTTGCTCTCTCTCTCTCTCTCTCTCTAACACTTTGTTACTTTTTTGTGGATTTCATGCCAGATCGGTGGATTAATCTTAGATCAGAGATATTCAATGAACTTTACACTCCCAAATCAATTATTTATCTCATCTACAATGGAGTTTGTTGCTTTTGTTTATGGAGTTTGTTACATTTATACTTTTGTTTGTTTGTTGTTGTCCAAATCCAATTTATCTCTATTTGTTTGCTTAGAATTTGTGGAAAGGAAAATGTTTACTAATACTGAATTTGTTTGTTGTTGTCTACTACTGCTACTGTTTGTTTGCTTAGAATTTTGTTACATAAGATGACATTTTGGAGAATTGGTGATACTATTTTAGTAGGTTTTTGTTATTTTATATGTTGCTGTTTTTGTTGATCAATTCACACATGATGCTATTTGCTTTTGTTTGCTTTAAATGTTCTATATTTTTTTTGTTATTTAATTATGTAAATTCATGACCCTAAATCGATCAAATTCGTGTTTAAACGGATTAGTTCAGATTGGTTTCACAATTTAAAAGAATTGAATTAGTTCTAATTTTTCAGAAATCGTAGATAATAAATTGGCCCTAATTTTGTCTCAATCTAGACCATGCTCACCCTTGACTACAAATGAAAGTTCATGTTGCACTTTAATTCATAAATCTCAAGAACTAAAGTGATTATTATCAATTGGTATGAAATTATATGCACATTCACACCGATAATTCAATCCTTCTAGTTCGTAACTAAGTTCAAAAAAAATTATATATACATATATTTTATATATAAAAAATTTAATAGAGTGGATAATTACAATCACATTACTTTTATAATTTTTTTATTTAAAAAAATTAGGCCATAAATATAAATACAATAATGCAACTACAATTAATCTATCAATTTGATTTATTTTCATCTTTTTATAAATAATTTATATAGATTTACAAAACAAACAATTCAAACCATGAAAATAAAATTTGTAAACAACAACCTCACAAACCTAACTAGACCAGACGGCCCTTCGATCTATACAAGCTCTTGCTTCCTTATATTTCTCATTCTCATCGTACACTGAACACAAGTCAACTACACTTCTTTTTTTAACTCCTGAATCCTGATTATAGTAACTAAATCCAATCCAATCCTTGTATTCTAACTAGTAGTAGCATATTAGGCTGTGTTTAATTCATAGATTTGAAAAAAAATTTAAAAAGAGAAAGAAAAAATAAGTAAAATATGAGTGAAATATAACTTCATTTTTTCTACATTTCACACATTTTCATTTTCATTTTTCCAATCCCTCTCCAAATCCATGAATTAAACATAGCCTTAGGCCTCATTTGGTAACAGACTATTTTAGTAATTTTTTAACTTTTTGACTAAAATATGAAGAAAAAAAACCAATATGTTTGGAATGCCTTTTTAAATTTTTACGAAAAGATATTCAAAAAGTAAGAGAAGAAAATTTTTAATTTTTTGGTATAGGTTATAGGATTTTTGATTTTTTTAAGTAACTTTTTAACTTTTAAGTTAAAACTATAACATGCCAAATGAGGCCTTAGTGTTTCTTTTATAAGATAAAAAAAAATGATGATTATAGCAAGCACAAGTAAATATCATCCCATACCCACTGCGGCCCTCCAAGGAACCATAAACCATGCTACTCAAATCCAAATATACGTATAACAATCAATCTAAAGCAATTTCAGTTGAATCATACATCGTGTGGTTAGATCTATGGAACTGCTGGATGTCCAACTGTAGTGCAAATATGACAATTGACACACCATGAACATAAAAAAATTCATTACAAAAAATTTCACCCCTATCTTCTTGAATACAGTCATCATGAATCCCATTGGCGTTTCCATACTTCTGATTGGAGGTGCAAACATTGCTTCGGAGGAGTCAGCTTAAATCTTCTTTGTTCAAACCCTGGGTTACTTGAGATAGACCTGCAACCTGTGGCAGTTTGATTCATTCCCTACAGTTCCCTCCTAAAAAAAAAAACCCAGCTGAATCAAATATAAAATGAAACTTTTTATTTATAAGTAATCAGAACTTACAGATTTAAGAGCAGAATGACTGATTCAAATGTCATACTTTTCCTCTGCATTTAGAATGACAGCTACAATTAAGTATGCTTCCTGTTCACAAATATATAGACGATATGAACAATCTGATGACAGAGCACTCTGTTGGCAAAAAGACAACTTCTGGTTAATAATTGAGATCGTCATACAAGCAGACCTCCATAAAATGTGTTTAATTAGATCCATTCAGGAATTTATAACACAGTTATCAACAAACATAGCACTTACAGACCACCCACCAGTAAAAAGTCCCCCCCCCAAAAAAAAAAAAAAAAAAAAAAAAAACATATGAATTTACTAATCAATTGGATGTTTGCCAGCTAGGTGAGATGTATAATGAGCAGAAAGCAAAAGCAGAGAAAGGAAAGCACTGGCTACGAATATTGCATCGAACCACCGGTGGTAAAAATCAAATTGAATGTCTCCACCCAATACATCTGTTATGATCATCCTGCAAGGGAATACCATTCAGACCACCACTTAATTAGGTAACTAGCAAGCTAACCAGATAAATGGACTACCAAGTATAATATGATGAGTCCAGCAAGCAGCAATCTTTCTAAATATAATCGACAAGATGCAAGAAGCAAACAATGGCATCAAAATCAGTTTATTCGATCAATTTTCAGATCTGAAAAACTATAACAAAATAGCATGTAGGCAACATTTATTAAATCTTGTTTTCAGTCATGGTGTTTCACTTTTTGGTATGTTGGTACAATTGATTGGTCACCGATACGCTATGTTTGGGAACCAAACATTCTAGCCAAAAAGCCATCACAAAATGTCAAATCACTCTCTATTTTTTGCACATCTTTTCATAAAAAGTCAAATACGCTAAAAAAGTCAATTCCCAAATGAGCATTAATTATCTATGTAGGTACTTGGGCATGAGAATTAGGCACCCTACTGGGAAGAAGAAGAAAAAAAAAAAACTACCAAGTACATTCAGGTTCCATGCATCAAATTATATATATACATATATATTGTATAGTTTTAGCATAGCTACAGATGAAAATGAAATAAAATAATTTATTTATTGCAATGCACGTAATAGGCAATATCAACATTTCAAGTAACTTCTTTTTTTCTTCTGGTAGGTGAGGTAAGGAGACCCAATTTGAGTCTCTTTATTGGGGAAATGCAACCTAACCTGATGTGGGGGAAAGTAAATATTTCACTTCTTGGAAAGCTATATCTTTCTGTTCTGCAGCAGCAGGAGGGATAAACTCCCAGAATCCATAAAGATTTACAAATTAGAACACTTTTTATGCCCTTTGCAGAGCAAGGCTTCCAAACAAGCGGCCACCAAGAAATTTTATGTCCTCCATAGAAAGGAAAAAAACTAATAAAAAATAAATTCACATAATCAATAAAAATAGACAAACAATGGATGGGATGCTATATAGGAAACAAAACTTAAATAGGTGAAACATAATCCAAAATGGATTTGGCTTCTCTTATGTTGGGGATCCAACTTGAGAGAGAATTTGGGCTTAGTGGGCCCATTGTAAGCCCAATCTCAGTGATCCAAACCGTTCACTTTTTAGAACTCACTGAAAAGAATATTCATGTAAAAAATCAAGATGATTGGACTTCAGTAGCTATGTGTTTAAATCACATTTGTCTTTTAAAAATAGACGGTTATTCTTGAAATTATACTTGCTGTCCATTTTTTTAAGATAAATGTGTTTCAAACACATTGCTATGGAAGTCCAATCATCTTGATTTTTTACATAAATATTCTTCTCAATGAGTACTAAAAAGTGAACAGTTTGGATCACCGAGATTGGACTCACAATGTGCCTACTAAGCCCAAATGCTCTATCATGTTAGATTGTGAACATGAGAGAAGCCAAACTCATCAAAATAATAGATAAATGATGGATGCTAAACGAAACAAACACACTAATCTTGCGTCAGTGATGACTGACCTGTATTCAGTTGCTAGGCTTTTTCTAATCAAAAGAATAGAAGATATGAAATACATCCCCATTATTTCAGAGAGAAAAAGAACAACGTTGCTTGAGGATCCACTCCCAACTCTAGAAACTGCAAAGAAGAACTGCAAAAAACCAACAGCTGCAGGTTAGTCAGAAAGATATCACAATATTAGGAGAAGCTGCTTTCTTTATAATATTCACTAGTATCCAGTGCAGTGCAGTGTGGTGAAGTATTACACTATAGCCAAACTTTCCATGGCGAACACCAAACAAGACTTGTTCTAAAAATATTATTTGGTTATTACAAGTACTAGAAATATGGGGAAACAAGCATGTAAATAAGGAAATAAGAAAATATTCTAAGACTCCCTCTCAAGTTGGTGCGAAGATATCTCGCATGCCCAGCTTGCCTAGAATGTTATGAAATATTTGCAAGTTGTTCGCCTGACTTCACAAAAGGAGTACATATCATGCCGCTGGTGCGTTTCTCCTTGATGAAGTGGCGATCAATCTCAGCATGCTTTGTCCTGTCATGTTGAGTAGGACAGAGGCATACTCATAAAAAAACACATGCAGCGAGCCATATCAAGAAGATGACGATTCTTGCGCTCTGCAACCCCATTTTGTTGAGGGTATTGGTGCAAGATGTCCAATGTATAATGCCATGAGTGGAAAAATAGCTCTCTAAGCCCGAATAGATGTATTCATCCCCATTATCAGAATACAAGATTTTGATAATTGCCCCAAACTGAGTACAAATCATTTTATGAAAATTTTGAAACACAAAGAAAACCTCACTTTTTTCTTTCATGAGATATACCCAAGTAGTATGAGAAAAATCATCAATAAAGACAACAAACCATCTATGGCCTTTTAAAGACAACATGAGATGGACCCCACACATCAGAATGTATTAAAGAAAAAGTAGTTAAACTTTTATTAAGACTTGGAGTAAAAGAAGCTCTATGTTGTTTGCCAAGTTGACAAGATTCACAAAGAAACGCAGACACATTATTGTTTGTAAAAACAGACGGAAATAAATGTTTAAATAAATGAAAAAAAAGATGCCCATGACGCCGATGCCACAGCTATAAATCCTCTGTAAAAATAAATTGATGTATTTTTCATATTTTACAAATGGTGAGGGCCTCCTTATATAGGAGATGTAGTGGAGTAGGTGGTAGTAGGTGGTAGTGGTAGGTGTGTAGTAGGTGGTGGTAGGTGTAGTAGGTGGAGTAGGTGATGGTAGGTTTTAACATCCTCCTTAGTGATTGGGAACTTGATGGAATGATGAGCAAGCTTGTTCGGCTGATCCAAGAAATAAAGACCATTTTCTGCACTACCACTGCCAATCGTCCTCCTCGTGACAAGGTTCTAAAAAAGACAATGATCAAGAAAAAAATGTCACACTACAGTCCAAATCCTTAGTAATACGACAGAGGTACGGTAGGAACAACATGAATTAAACATTTCCCAGAGATAGAAGAAACAATACCATCTGCAATCCTAACTTTGTCTTGACCTGAAGAGGATTTATATGCTGAGAAAAGGTTAGAAGACCCAGACATATGATTTGAGGCACCAGAATTAATAATTCATGGCAAAGACTTACGGGAAAGAAAAGCACTAAGAGAAGAGGCTAAGTTACCTGAGCGGACAAATGACGAGGAAGATGCACTAGGAGCAGTAAAAGACTGGTGGACCAATAAATGACGCAGAACAGCCTCAAGCTCAAGAGAATTCATGCTAGATAAATTATCAGAAGTCGGACCAACTAAAGCGGAAGTAGAATCAAGGGTGTCAACAACATTAGACTGATGGGCCCGTGGATTAGAGCCACGTCCTCTAGACTGACCTGATCGACTGCCTCTAGCACCAGATCAATCACCCCGACTCCCTGATGGAGCCCCATGAAACTTCCAACAAGTCTCACGAGTATGCCGCGACTTGCGGCAGTAATCACAGAACACAATATCCTTCCCTGAAGGATGGGAAAGACGTAGTGACAAATCAGTTCCATCTCGAGAAGGAGCAGAAAGTAATGCTGAACGGTCTCCAGTAGCCGGTGGTAACTGATAGGTTAATCAAGAACTAGAGAGAGAGGAACTTAGAGGGAGAAATTCTCAATTCAATTCAAATTCAATTCAATTCAAATTCAAGAACTAGAGAGAGAGGAACTTAGAGGGAGAAATTCTCAATTCAATTCAAATTCAATTCAATTCAAATTCAATATATCCCAAGAAGATGACTTGGTCCACAGCAAAGGTGTACTTCTTAGTGTTGCCATAGAACTTGTCTCGCGTTAAAAGTTCAAAGACTTGCTGAAGGTGGCACAAATGCTCTTCCAAATTTCGACTATAGATTAAGATATCATCGAAGGAGACCACTACACACACTCCCAAAAGTGGTTGCAACATTTGTGTCATCACTCTCATAAAAGTATTCGGAGCATTGGTAAGCCCAAATGGCATCACAAGCCACTCAAATAGGCCATGAGGTGTTTTAAAGGCCGTTTTCCACTCATCATCGGGCCTTGATGCGGATTTGATGATACCCGCTTCTAAGATCAATCTTAGAAAACACCTTTGATCTGGCAAGCAATCCAACATATCATCCAATCTTGGAATTGGAAAGCGGTACTTGATTGTAATCTTGTTGATTGCGTGGCTATCCACACACATACGCCAAGAGCCATCCTTCTTAGATGTCAAAAGCGCTGGAACATCACAAGGGCTAAGGCTAGGCCGGATGTAGCCTTTAGCCAAAAGCTCTTCTACTTGCCGTTGCAACTCCTCTTTCTCCTTTGGAGACATGCAATAGGCTGGTTTGTTTGGAAGTGCCGACCCGGGTACCAAATCAATACGATGTTGAATGTCATGCATAGGAGGTAAATCAGGAGGAAGCTCTCGGGGAAAGACATCGGAATACTCTTCCAAAAGAGTAGCCACCTCAACCTTTTCTTTAGAAGCACCCGTGTGTACAACCGGAACCAACACCAATACAATCCCAAAATCCTGACTCTCTTCCACAAACTCCTTGGAAGCAAGCAATGTAGTGGCACTAGGAGATGACTTGGAAACATCCTTGGAAGTAACATTTTCCTTCATTGGAAGCAAGGTAAACCGGATATCATTCTTGGCAATGGTGTAGGTGTTTCGTTTGCCATCATGCAAAGATTGCCAGTCATATTGCCAAGGTCGTCTAAGTAGAATGTGACAAGCATCCATAAGCACTATATCACACCATGCCTCATCAAAGTATTTTTGCCAGATAGAAAATGAAACCAAGCACCGTTTGGTAACCTTGATCTCATTGCCTTTCTTAAACCAAGATAGAGAATAAGGATGCGGATGTTCTTCCACCAGAAGATTAAGTTTGTCCACCACTTCTTGAGAAACTATGTTCCCACAACTTCCACTATCAATGATCATGGTACAAATACGGCCACCAATGTTGCAAGTGGAATAAAAGATATTGGTACGTAACCAATCTTCTTGGCTCTCTAGTTTTGGTGAGAGAAGAGTCTTCTTCAACATAAGAGAAAGACCCTCTTCTTCATCACTATCTTCACCAATTGCCACATTACCCGAAGGATCAAAGATTGGAGTATCTTCAAAGTCATCATGCTCCTCAACTTCTTCAATGAGAAGTGCCTTGTTCCAGTTATTACCCATGTTCTTGCGGCAATCAGACGATCTATGCCCCAGTTCACCACACCTAAAGCATTTGAATGTTCCACCTTGTGGTGGATTTTGGTTTTCGAAAGCACCATTAGGACGAGGAGCTTGAGAGGAGGAAGCACCCTTGTCCACAAACTTGAAAGGAGGATTAGCTTTGGCAAACCTAGGAGTGGAAGGACGCGGCCTAAAACCACCTCAAAACCCTCCTTGGGAGTATTGTCCTATTTGGGAAGCACACCGGCTTCCTTGCTTCTCCACGGTTAAGGCCCGATTATAAGCTTCTGAAACATTATATAATGTGTGCAAAGCAAGAACATCTTGGGTGAAAGATTTCAAGCCGCTCATATAGCGGGCCACCCGTTGGTCCTCACTTTCACTTAAGTCAACCCGTGCAATGAGGTGATAAAAGGCTTCCGTGTATTCATTCACACTACCATTTTGCTTGAGAACATGAAGGCGTTGATAAACACTTTGGAGGTAGTTGAATGGTAGAAAATGGCCCTTCAACTTCTTTTTCATTGTCTCCCAATCATAGATTTTCTCCTTCCCACATCGGCGACGGTTGAGTTGAAGTTACTCTCACCAAGCGGAAGCTCTCCCCTTCAATTGAATAGCCACAAGCTTAACTTTCTTTTCAACGGAGACCTCTCCATAGTCAAAGATCCGCTCAATGGTGTTGAGCCAATTGATAAACTTAAACTCATCGGGATTGAGGCTTCCATGAAATTTGGGAAGTTCAATCTTGATATTGTTCTCTCATTTGTGTTCCATCCTACCTACACCCGTTTGACCCCTTCGTGGAGCCCAAAAGATATTATCAAAAGAATGATGAGTACCACCTTCAGTATCATCGGAACCATCACTACCATCATCGGTAGAAGGAGGAAGGAGACGTTGCACCATCTCGGTTAGAATGGCAATTTGCCGTCTTATCTCAACCATCTTATCTCTTGGATACAGAATCCCATTACCCTCGGTACCATCACCCAAATCCGGGGCATAACCCCTACCATGACCACCCCTACGACCTCGACCCCGATTAGCCATAACAACAACTCAGTATGTTTCCAAAATAGTCCAGATATACAGATTTCAAATAGCACAATTCCAGACCCAATTCACAGATTAGGACAATTCAGTGTAACTACCAACTCACAGCAGTATGAAGTATCAAATATTCAAGAATCAACAACAAGACAACAATATCAAGAATTGGGAACCCAATCTGTATAATGGAGTTTGAACAGCTCAAGAAGTGAAAAAGTGATCGAATTGCCTCAATCAAATGCAGAACCAAAACAGTCCCCTTGCGACGAACCTCTGCTTCAGTCTTGCAAAGATGACCAGAAATCTCCTTCGACTAGACACAGTTGCGGCGATCAGACACAGACACAGTTATGACGATTCACGATGATCGAACACGTCACAAAATCGAAACAGGT